CACTCACTCTCACTCACTCTCACTCACTCTCACTCACTCTCACTCACCCTCACTCACTCTCACTCACTCTCACTCACTCTGCACCTGCAGATCGAGGGTCACAGAGCGCTGTGCCTGCCACGAAATCTGCAAACGAGTCACATGTCCAAAAGTCACGATTCACTGCACCTGTCACGAGATCCATCCTCTCTTGGTTGTTCTGCTCAGCAACGAATGCTGAAACGGCAATTTTGCGCTCCGCACCACCGCGCTCTGCCTCAAAGACACGGTCTCGAAGCTCTAGGATTTCCTGATCATCTTTGCCCTCGAAGTTGATGTTTCTTTTCGTCAAAGACCTTTTGGCTCGTGTGACCTTGCGTGGGGGCCCTCGTTTGTCCCATCTTTTCGAGTGGCTGCGTTTCGCCGTCGCCGTCATTTCTGTCCTCATGTCGCTGTCCTCATGCCGCTGTCCACAGATCTGGATCTGGATCTTTCACAAGCCGAACCAGGCGGACTCTCAACACCCCCCGACGAAGAGGCAAGTTCTGAGAGCCGCTCCGCGGTCAAGGGGGCTCGCGTCTCCTTGGGCGAGTCCTGTTTGGACAGGGACATGGGCGGCACAAATCTGAACGCAAGAAAAGTCGCAGGTCGAGCCAAAGCTTGCTCAAACGACGCAGGCAAACTGAGTTTGACATCAAGGCCATTGAAAATCGGACACAAGTAATCAAACTAAAGGTGCTCAACTTCATCTCAACTTCAGCTCCATGTGCCACAAAACCACACAGCATCTGAGGGCCTGACTCTCCATCCCAGAAAGATCGGCGCCATGGAATCTTTGTTTTCTTGAAAGAAAGGGTCAGCGCAAGATCCTCTTATATAGATGATCAACCGACCCCAACGACATGATTTGTTTAAAGGATACACACATATACATATCCAAAGATCCCACTTAACTTGAACCACCATGAACCACCCAGTCTGAAACATTTGAGAAAGGTGTCTCCAAAAAGAAGTCTAAATGGTGAAACGATGTGACAAGAAAAGAAGAGTTGGGATTGAATTCTTTACTATTGTATGGCAGTGCTTTCTCTGTGCCATGTCAGTGGTTCTTCAAGCTTCGTGTGCACATATAGCCTAGCCCGCACGTAAGCTTAATTGCTAGCCAATAATTGCAGTTCATGATGAGGCCACTTCACGGATACTTGTACCGATCAAGAACCGGAAGGATTCAAAAGGCTATACGGCGCAGGCGCAGGAGATCATTGATCCGCACATCCTTCTGAAACACCTCGTTGAACGAACCCGGATCTCCATTTCTGTCGTATTGCACCACAAGCTGGATATGTTGATAACCCCGCATCGGATTCACACATTCCTGTGGCCATCTATGGGGATGCAGCCAAGTTGAGCACCGCAGGAGGTAAAATGGTGGGGAATTCCTCAGCCTTCCATTGTGGCGAACCACGTTCATCCTGTTGTTCCCGCTGGTGTTTATGGGCGTGTCAAGAACACCTGTTCTTCAAACACCACACGGTCAATCGTGTGTATCGACGATTGACCTGGTCTCTCTCTCTCTCGCGTTCCGAGGTGTGGGGGGGGGGCCACTCCTTCGCACTCACTGAGTATAAGGCGCCTGTCCTTCACGAAATCTGAGCTCCTCAACGATCATCACCAGGTCCAAAGTGCTGCACCTGCCACGAAAACTGCATTTCGAAGTAAAACAGCTCCGATCCCTTGCACCTGTCACGAAAAGTCGACTTTGGAGCACCAAAACACGAGGTTTTCCTTGCGCCTGCCACGAAAAGTGACCACCATGTACCAAAATGCGCACGGCACCACAACGAGAGCGCAGTCGCCACAAGCACCCGCCTCAGCCACCCAGATTCTGCGAGCCTGCGCAGTCGAAATGCACATTGACGATGTATGCCACTGTAAATAGCAATGAATTAGCCGTTCACGCCGGCGCGCTTCAGCTACACTGTTTGGGGGAAAACGTTGTGTTTTTCACAAACGTGTCACAGTCTTAAGTAAACCCGTCGGGATATATTTACACAATTACCACAGTTCTTAGACGAACCGCCTTCCATTTAAAAATCAGATCGAACCAACCATGCAGGAGCAGCGCTACCAAATCAACATCGCTCCTGACCGAAGCACACAGACTACCAGGAACTTGTACTGCCCAAGGTTCAATATTTTTTCTAAACATTTGCTGGGTGCTGGGCTTGTCAGCTGCTTTGGCTGCAGGGTTTGCCATTTCACAGGCTGTTGCCTGCGTGGCCGAGAAACTGTTGTCAAAATGTCGAGGAAAGCAACATGTCAATGGTGGCTTTAGGCAAGAAGGTCGAAAAACCTGTGAAACTGCCAAATGAATTCTGGGCAGCCGCTAAAAAATACCCCATGTCTTTTTCGCACATAGTCAGGAACTGGAAGCAGGCTTTGGTTGACAAAATGCTTGTACCTGTGCGGATGCTTCAGCATTTTCATCAGCTTCTTCTTCTTCTTCCTCCAGTGCCTTTGGAAGTCCTGGCTGGTCCATACCCTCTGGGGAGGAGGGAGTGAAAATCGTTGATAAACTTGATCAGGTGTACGCTTTGGCAATGGTTCTTCCACTGCCTGCTTTTGAGGTCAATTTTTTCTCTTGAATGATGTAAACAAACTCTATTTGGTACGCTGTTTCCGCTCAGCTGGCGACCTCCACATTCTCTGGCTTCAGCTTAACAAATCTACCTTCCAAACTGACCTGCATGTAAGCAGAACAGAAGTGAGCTGCAAAAGGCAAGAACAGCACCAACTGCCTACCATGCAAACAGAGCCAAAAGCTGCAGAAGCGACCTGGTACTTCTGTTGGTCTTCCAAGTAACCTGGCAAACAAAATTAAAAAAAAGAAATGTCACTGGATGAGTGACATCACTAGACTCAAGGAACAACCCTGCAGTACAGAGCTCGATTGGTGAACATGGTTCTTGCTGCAAAAATCCCAGTCCATACTGCTGCGCAAACATGCCAATGGTCAACAAGCACGGAATTGTCAGAGTCACAGTGCGATGGAAGTCAGCGAGGATCTTTTGGTTTGTCTTTGACCCTGCTGTCTTCCTCTTCCAATCACTACTTCTGCGTGCAGGGTATTTCCACACGTCTCGTAATGTTTTCACTTCAATCTGCGCACTGTCGCTCTCAGTACCACAAACTTCAATGGGGTCTGACTCGGACCCTGACCAACTATGATACTGAGCCCATGGCGAACAATATTGGCACGTTTGCCATTGTTCTCTGGCTTGGAGACAAGGCCCTTAAGGATCACTTGACCTCATGACTGATGCAAAGCTCGTGGCTCATAGCAACTACGTTCTCAGGTTATCGCATCCTTCTCTTAGAAGAAATGATGGACCTTCCATAGCTTTTGGCTCAGTCTGCTCCTGATCAGAGGTTAAGTCACGAGGTCAAGCGAGGAGCAAACGAGGAAGCCTTCGTTGGGGCCGTGCGGACTTCAGCCTCCTCTGCCTGTCTCCTGGTAGCTGCTAGACTTGCAGCAAACTAGAATCGTGGCTGAAAACCGTCTTTAAACATAATGAAAACTATAGTCAATGGATGTCGATGGTCAAACATTGTGACAAACATGGGTTTTCCCAAATTGCCATCCTGATCGCCGCAGCAACTTCTGGATCAAGCTTGCCAGGCTTTATGGCTGCCTGCTTGCCAACATTGAGAAACTGTTGCCAACTCTGCATATCTTGGGACTCCACTTGTTCCAGTAGTGACGTCTCTGAAGTTCTCTTCATTGAAAGATGGCGCGGGACCTTCACACAGAAAACGACACAAAGGAAGAACAATACAATTCCGAAGCTGCTTGAAACGAGCAACGTACCTGTGGCAGAGCTTCCGAGACTGGCTTTTCTTTTCTGCACAAAGAGGCAATGACCTGGCAAGTCCAATCAGCATACCTTCTTTGATCTGGAAATGGTGTCTGACTCAGAATGTTCACCCCTCCCGAACACTGAAAGATCCACTGGCCTTCCGGCCCATAAAGTAACTCTTTTGCATCAACGAAGCAAGCTTCATGGCGTCCTGGAGCAAGTTGGGATGCAACAAATGATACATCGTGAAGCTTGGCTCCTTGGTTGGAGGCCATCACTACTAGGGTGGAGGCAATCGCTATTAGTTGGCGATCCTGGGCTCCTTTGCACCAAATCAGTGCTGATCCTTCGGAAGGCTCCACCTTTCAGCGAAACAAAGAGAACAACACCAGGTTTTGGCAACAAACACCAAGTAATCTACTAGAAGCAAGAAGCTACTAGTAACAAGGGCATCGCTACTAGGAGCAACAACGCATCTAGGGGCTCCTGCCCTTATTACTAGGAGCATTCTTGCTACATCTTGCTACTAATGACAAACACCCAACGCTCCAAGGCTATTTGGACACCTTAACAAAAGGCTCTTTGATGTGCTCGGCAACATGCTTCCTGATCACATCCTGAATCTCGATGAACCATGACATTGGAGTCGATGCAGTGTACCTTGGAATACTACGTCTGATCTCTTACATTTTGATTTGCTCATCTAAGTGACAAACTCCCATAAATTTGCAATTTCAACACAAGGAGACTTCTTCGCCCGATCCTGCAAGACATATTTGACACCAAAGAAAATCACAACTGCTCAAAATGGCCATGTAGGGCCTATCTCCAAGTGTAGTGTGCGGTGTCCTTCACATTGAAACCTTCTTTCTGCCACACAGCTGCCTTCAAAGCTGCAATGAACTCTTGCACTCTCGGCAAAACTATCCGGCCTCACATCGAATGCGCCAATTCCGATACCCAAGCCTTAGCAGGATATTCTGAGTGCAACCCCACTAGACATCGTACAAATGTCAGATGAGCCCCGCGTGTTTTACCACATATTGGATGCAAGCTCCAAGGTGATGATTGCGAGTGCTCTGACAAATTACAACAGAATACAGGATGCTAACATCATCAATAATTCATACGCACACTGAATCGGTTTCGGACACTCGCACCCTTCCGTCTAGGTCACGACAAGCCTCTCCGGTTTCCACAATAACGCATCAAAAAGTTCAATGATTAAAAAAGCAACGCAAGTGCCTCGTAGACTGGATCCTCAGATCGAAACAGCGATGGTTTGCAAAAACAGTTCCCAAAACTGTGTGGTCACTCCACTTCTGAAAAGGCCCCAGCTCCAGCATCATGAGTTCCAGTGAACTTGCTGGTGTGGTATACGACAAGCGCCTCGCCCTTGAAGTTCTTCGTTTCCAATATGCCCTGGAGAGAAGCAGCTGCGCCACAAGAAGTGGAGTGAGACTGAGATGAAAAAGCATCACAAGAATAGACGCAAGTAGAAGTGTAAACACGAGGCACATGCATCAAAACAATTTTATAGTATTATAGTATAACAGTATAACTCTGTCAACATGTTTGGCAAAGTTGCGCGTTTTAACATGCAAAAGGAATGCGGCCTGAATCTTGATTTCGTGGCAGGCATTGAGTTAGGAATACAATGTGCAGTTTTCGCGGTGCGGGAGGGGAATGGAGGGAGGGCGCAGCTCTTCCCCAAATGCATTCAAACAACTAGTGATGAAATGGTAGATGTCTACGGGTCTTCAAATGCAACAGTTCACAGGGTAGGAGAATATCTGGGGTTTTGTCAAGGTCTGAGCATTCACAAACTATTTTTCCTATACTATGAAGCAAACTTGAGGGTTGAACTCTGTAAAAGACTGCAAAACATGGTGCTACAACATGCGGAAAGCTGGAACAAAGCTGTTGTAAGTAAATATAGCAAAGCTCTGAGTGCACCAAGATAGGACAGAAAGGAAACATACGGGTAGCAAATCAACTTATAATCATCCTGGAGTAGATAGAATGGACGAATTTTCAAAAAAAACAATTCACTCCTCAAAACCGGCCCTTCCAAACCCCATAGATAGAATATGGTTGTAGGGGCTTCTCTTCCTTTTCCTTTGTTGTCCTTTTCCTTCTCTGGTCGTTCTATTCCCTGTTCGTTCTAAAGAAAAGAAAAAAGGAAAGGAAAGCTTAGATAATACACATAGGAACACAACATGAGAATAACAAAGGAGTAAATACCAGAATGGGAGGAGTTGATAAGAATCGTATCACTATATTCTATCTTTGGGGTCAGTCTTCATAAAATGAAATTGAAAGGGATGTCAAAAACCCTGAGTTTTTTCAAAAAGAAAAACACCCCCTACGAAAGTAGATTCTATCTACTCCAGGATGATTATATTCGTTCCGAGTTGGTACAGGTCTTGACCACTCTTGAAAGCCTCATCCATGTACAGCTCAATTTTCTTGATCTTCCCATACCTTGGCATACATTCGCTTCACATCACACAGAACTTCACACATACCTATATATAAATTAAAAAAATCGAACGATTTGATTCACTAACTCTGAGTCAAGGTCTGCCCAAAGAGGTCTCCAAGAGCAAAATGCAAAGCTTCATCACCTTGGACACAGCCGTGTGTTATGTAAATTTGTGCAGGCAAAGTTCAACCAGGGTTGCGTACCACCTTGGAAGTTCTTGGGGAGTTCGTTGACAAAAACAGCGGACGAGGATGTGTCGCCTTCAAGTCCGACTTTGTCAAAATGATGCCTTCCATCCTGAATGAAGCGTGTCCACACGCCAAATGCCTATTGGCCGCCCAACGGTGCTGGCATCTACAAGAATACCATTGCCTGCATGAAAGCATGACAAAAAGTACGACCGGCATGACATTCAAGCATTGGTTGCAAAGAAACAACATGTGCAAATTCACTTGCGTGCCTGGATTTGAGGCGTCCACCAAAGCCATGGGCTCCACTTTTCTACTGCCAATGGGGCATTCGATGCCTGATTACCCAAGTCAGGTTCACGTTGTTTCGGTTTGGTTATGGTGCACGTTTTGGTGTGCCCATAGCTCAAAAAAAAAACAAAACAAAAGCATACACAGCGCCATGAATATCAAACCTTTGTTTTTGCATGCTATGTCTAACTTTTCGAAAATAAGAATGTTCAACTATAACTAAGGATTTCGTCTTCGTGCGCAGCATTGCATGCGCAGGTAATTCGCCGTGTTGATGTCATGCGGCAACTTCTCATGGCCCATGCTGATGTGTTCTCTAGCGTCAAGCCCACACTAGAACAAATGAGTTGTAACACAAACACAAATCATCGCACGTTGGTCGAGCCGTCCATGAGCAAAAAAAGGTTTGTGCTGCGCAGCGGCGTTTCAAAACTTAAGACATTCTGGCAAAATGCATTTCACCATGAAACCTGCTCCCAGAAGCGTTTTTCGCCTTAATTTCGGATGTGAACGGGCAACAGTCAATCACAAACAAGGTTCACAATCACGGAATCAACTGTTGAAAGTTAGCCCACCTTCGCGGTGTCGACAGGAAACAGCTGCCAATGACAACTAAGGTTCCAGCAGCGAATTAACCATGCAGACTCGCAGGGGAACCCGAAACTAAACCCTGAATGCAGTGTTGCGCCGAGAATTGGGCAAAGCTGCCCTACATAAAGTGACATTTTGGAGCAGCGCTGCGATTCTCTACGTTGCAAACAAAAAATGCAATCGGAAAATTTCCAAAAATGCGACCCAAACATGTAAATTGCAAAACAAGGGCATTAAAATTGCCATTAAAGAATGCAAAATTGAAAATCAAAAAACATGTAAGCAGTGTAAAAACACAAAAACCATATAAGAAAATGTAAAATAGAAAGTGAAAAATGCGACTTCGAAATTACAGGCTTGAACAGTGTGAAAATGCGGCTTGAAATATTGATTACGGGTGCCAAAAGTCCAACGTTAAGAAGACAGTCGCACAAAAACAATTGCAAAAATATTTTTTCCAAGAAGTGGCCCGCTGGGCACGAACTGCAAATGTTTGTTCTCTTCAGTATGCCAGAAATCGGTTTTTGCAACATTTGTCTTGGAGTCTCAACTCAATGCATTTGTTTTCGACACTGGGGCAAGTCGGCCACCTCACGACGGTGGGTCAAGCTGAAACAAAAGCAGTGGTGGGACTCGGGCGGGCGCTTTGGATCAGCCACCACAACTTAGTGGGGCCCAACCCTCCCTGCGTAAAGTTAAAAGCCGCATCTTGAAAGCTGCAACCCCAAAGCTTTGGTTTCGATCCGCGCGCAGAACTTCACTGTCTGGAAACTCATGGGGGTTGCAGCTGTCTCAACTCAACTCACTTGCAACAAGACATGTGGACAGGCCCGAGTCAAGGTCGAAGTGCATGAGTCTGCACGCAACATCACCGGAAGCGGAACCCTTGTTTCCCTGCGCCCAGTTGATCCGTGTCGGTTTTCGCCAGAGAAGCGAAGAAGCTGACGGATCCGGACGCCTCGTTCCCGCTTCAGTGCAGCGTGGAGAAAGGCGAGGAACCAAGAAATGGTCGAACGAGGTCACTGTACTGGCTAATGTGAAGGCCTGAAGATGAGGCTGTTTTCCAAACAGTGCCGGTTGATCTGGCAAGGCTTTTGAGTTGGGGACTGCCCACAGATGCATCAACCTTTAGCAACGACCTTGAGCGAAAACCCAACCAACAGACATGCCAACATGCTCTCCAAGCATGCAGCCATCGAATTCAGAACCCCCCCCAGAAGGAGAGAGACACTCTTGTGCACATGCATCATGTCCCATCCAATTGGATGAGCGCTTCGGGTCAATGACTTGCATGTTTCCAGTGCACTGCCAACAATTGCATTTTGCGCAAGCAGATGTGCAGGGACTTGGACTGAAACGAGAGAGCGTGGTCATCCATGGCATGCTCCATTCAACACTCAGTTGCTTTGTCAAGAAACTGCAGGGTGATTGCTTGAAGACGACAATCAAAGGTTGCCGCAGCCGACAGCCTGCTCAATCCAATCAGGAGTGACTGAGACACCGCCGGGCGAACAGCCAGCCACAAAAGCTGTAGGGTCCAGCGGCTTTGTTTTATTGCAGTGGCGGTTGACCAGAGATGCAAGTTTTTCTCTGTCTGGCTGTTTTTTTCAGCTCTTCTTCTCCCAACGATCCGTTGGGCCGCTCATTCGCCAGTGGCAATCTGGACCGCTGTCCTTTGCTTGGAACAGCTCCAGACATCAGTCTGCATTCCATTCTAACAGGAAGACTGGCTTTGGCTTTGATAGGCTGAACGGCACTCTTCCATGTCTTTTAAACACGTTGGAGCCCCACAAGGCAATGATTTGCTAAAAGTCGGCGGTTTTCGGCAGCTTGCTACCACCTAGCACTGTCTTGAGGTTTGTCGTGCCCATCATGGTCAGCTGAGGTTCACTTTCCACCCAGCTTGGAAGCTTCAGGCAGGAGAAAGCTCTTGCAAAAAGTGTCACATCATGTGACTGACTGGCATTTTTTTGGCACGGGTGGAGACGCCATGTGTGCATGGTGCACAGGTCATCTTTGACTACGTTTGAATGAATCTCCTGGTGACAGAACAAATCAACAAGAACAGACACACAAAACCACAAAACAACACAACAACCAAAAAACTGGACCCCAAAACCACGAAAAAGAATGGAGATTCGCTTTGCACATGCAAGGTGAAACGTTGGTGAAACACATTGACTTCCTGTAGTTGGGCAACGAACTCAGGTATGAGCTTCGAAGTGAGTCGTTCTCCTTTGTACTCTCGTAGAAGAGAGGCAGTGGGCCTGAAGTGACAGGCCTGTGCATGAGCACTCATTGAAAGCAGTGCTCTAGGTGTCGATCAAAGCTCATCGGCAGTTAGGAAGCAGTGATAGCTACCTTATGCGAAAGCTGCTAGTTGGATCCACTAACACCGGTGATGCTGACCTGTTAGGCCGTGGAAAACAAGCGAAGCACACAACCCTGACGTGACAAGCGAAAGTGAGTGAAGCTGCCGCTGTGGCCCGCGCTCAGTGCACAGCAGGTGAGTGGTTGGTTGCGAATCCAAGCTGCTCGAATGGGTGCAGCCAGCGCGCTCCCTCAACAAGAGGGAGGCGCTGCAGCACGGCAGAGGCGTACTCCATTACAGCAAGCCTACAGGAGTAATCGTCATGTGCATACTTGTCAATGTAGGGTGCAGACATCTGATAGCAGGCTTTCAGTGGCCATGCAATGCCCTGGTGAAACCCAACTGCGGTGCCGTCTGTACTCTATATACAAGCCTAACAGAATGGGGCCCACCCTCAGGACAAGAACCAAGGTTCTCGCCTGAGGTCAAATTGCAGGGCATGTTACGCAGACTTAGGCACCTATCACGACGTTGGGCAGCAGCAATCGATGCTCCTGCTCAACTGAGCAGGGAGACTGAGCCCGCTCACCGTATTTGTTCTCTTGTACTCCCCTTGGTTCGGCTTCAGGCTATGGACTGGACCAGTTGGGATCATATCCTGGGTTCGGAATGAGGTTGATCCATACCGGCTTGGTGAATCTGGAGCATAGTTCGAAGGCTGTTTCCTCAGCACAAGGCCCCCGCCAAGTGGTCCGCTCGTCTGGCATTAATTCAAAACTTGTCAATGAGGTGCAATCGAAAAAGGCTTTGCTGGCAATATACAGAAGTGTTGGCGGGACTGCAATCTCTCGAAGTACAGCACAGCCCATAAAGGCTTTCACTTGGATGGTTTGCAGCGTCCTGGAAGCCAGATGTGTTGGAGACGTATGCACTCAGAGAACGTAAACTCCCGGATTTCAGGAATAGAAGTGCCAGCGAGATCGACAAATGCAAGGAGTTTGCAATTATCACAGGCATGAGAACCTAGCTGGTGAAATTCAGGCGGTAATCGAAGGTCACTCAGCCCTGATGAGCCAAAGCACCCTGCGGTACCTCTCGAAGCTGAGCAGGCGTTGATTGACCTGGTTCACTCACGGCTTGCATGAGCGTTACGTTGGCTTGATTGAGGCATGTCGAAAAGGTATGGGGCTATCTGGGTTGAGCCTACGAAGGTGCTGTCTCCTCTACTTGCTCTCACGTGCTGCAATGAACAGCAGTCGGCAAGACCAGTCCCGAAGACTACACATCCTGGTGCATCCACACTGTTAAGCAAGTGACATCCCCGCAAAGCGCATTCTTCAATGCGCACGACAGTTGCCGGCAGCTTGACGATTCGCAGCTGGCGACAGGTTTGCCAGACACGACAGTGTGCAGACCTTCCTCAACGAGGACATGTCGCAACCAAGGGACTGCACAGAAGGCACAAGCGGGGATAACCCCTGAGTCATTGACTGGAACTTTGATTGCCTTTGGGTGGTCAGGCATTCTCGAAAGACCAAATTGAAGCTTGTGTTGATTTGCAGGGCGTCTCATATTTGGTCTTGCAGGTACGCGTGCTTGGATGAACCAAGTCTACCTCACTCTCAAAGACATCCAACCTAGTGACCGTGGCTGGATAGTCAACTCCTCGAGGTCAGCAAAACGGTTATACTGCGCAATGTTCATGGGATAGACATCTCAGTACCCAGCCAAGGTGGTGAGCAGACGCTGACAGGTCACAGAGGCGTGTGCTGGGCCACGAGGCTGTATTGACCGCCATTGGAGTTGATTGACCCTATTCAAACTGGCGATTCTGCCCTAACCTTGTTCAAAAGGGTTTGAGCCAACGCTATCTGTTGGGCTGTTTGTCCATGCATCCTGTATCTTCACAGGCCCTGGGACAGCTTATCCAAGGGGGGAGCCGACCTTGAGGGTGCCACTGGGCTGGTCTTGTCATGTGACCTTTCAGTGCGATGCCTCCGGCCAGTCATATTGACTCTTTACCCTCCTTAGGACAAGGACTAAATGGCGACCATGCCTCTTATTTCTTATCCAGTAAAACCGCGTCGTCTATTAGATTAATACGCGCGCGTGTCTGATGTTTGCTTGTGATGTGGTTTGCGTACGCT